CACTGGTCCCATCACCTCCTGGCAAATAGAAGAGGAAAAAATGGAGGCAGTGATAGATTTTACTTTCTTGGGCTCCATGATCACTGCAAATGGTGACTGCAGTCACGAAATTAAAATATGCCCACTTCTTGGGAGGAAAGCATCGAGAAACCGAGACAGCATCTTAAAAAGCAGAGACAACACCTTGCTAACAAAGGTCCGCATAGTCAAAGCTATGGTTTTTCCAGTAGAGATGTATGGAAGTGAGAAGTGGACCATAAAGAAGGCTGACTGACGAAGAATTGATGCTTTTGAACTGTGGTGCTGGAGGAGACTCTTGAGAGTCCCCTGGACTGCAAGGAGAACAAACCTATCCATTTTGAAGGAAATCAACCCTGAGTGCTCACTGGAAGGACAGATCCTGAAGCTGAGGCTTCAATACTTTGGCCATCTCATGAGAAGAGAAGATTCCCTGGAAAAGACCCTGATGCTAGGAAAGTGTGAAGGCAGGAGGAGAAGGAGACAACAGAGTATGAAATGGTTGGACAGTGTCATCGAAGCGACCAGCATGAATTTGACCCAACTCCGGGAGGCAGTGGAAGACAGGAGGGTCTGGCGTGCTCTGGTCCATGGGGTCATGAAGAGTTGGACACGACTAAACGACTAAACAACAACAAACCACTCAGAGTAGTGCTGAAGGACTAATGGGAGCAGTATACAAATTAAAGTAATAAATTAATGATAAATAGTTAAAGTTCTTCCCACTCTTTTCTATTTCTTTCACCAGTTCACAATTGAAGTACCGGAAAAGCAAGTGAATTATCGGACTCAGTTGCAACACTCCCATACTACCCAGAGCTACACAGAAAGTAGCACCCACTTGAAGGTGCACTTTAACAATCACATGCCATTTATGGCGGGGCTGCAGTGGAAAGACAGATCACGACATTCCTTGAAGAAGTGGGAAGGTAAACATCATCCCCAAAAGACTTCTGCAGGAAAATATGTAGCTGCTGGAAATAAAAAGTATATTTAGTAAAGCATGGGGAGTCAGTCTAATGCAGAGGTTAGCATTAGACTTATGAAACCCAAGTTGTAGTTCCCATTGAGACATGAAATTCACTTAGAATCTCTCAGCCTGATGTACCTTATAGAGGTTTGTTGTGACACTGCCAAAATGGGAGAGCCCTTCAAACAGAAAATTGTTCTTTGTAGAGTAGGAACATGGCTTTGTGAGAAAACAGGGCTATCCTGCTGCCTCACATGAAAGATAAATTAGGGTTTTCCACCATTCCATATCCTGAATCTGCCCAGAGTGATAACTAATTCTTTTTTTAATACTTCCATTGGGAAAACCTTGTCTACTAGACCTGAAGATGGCAGAGTCGGTGGGGTGTCAGAAGGGAGCTATCTGGCATTCAAGTCTCTGTGTTCCAGCGCCTCACTACTTTCTTTCTGTATCCCTCAGGATTTGCCCCCTGAAACAGGAGTCTTATTCTAACAAACGATAGGGCTGGTTTGATATATTTTTTTTAAAAAAAAAAAAATCTTTTCTAAAATATTTGGGAATGAGAAGATGGCAGAGTCGGTGGGGTGTCAGAAGGGAGCTATCTGGCATTCAAGTCTCTGTGTTCCAGCGCCTCACTACTTTCTTTCTGTATCCCTCAGGATTTGCCCCCTGAAACAGGAGTCTTATTCTAACAAACGATAGGGCTGGTTTGATATATTTTTTTTAAAAAAAAAAAAATCTTTTCTAAAATATTTGGGAATGAAAATAGCCATTTTTTTTTTTAAAAAAAAAAACCTTTTCTAAAATATTTGGGAATGGAAATAGCCAGAAAGATTTTAATAGACACAATCTTCCATTTTCTTTGTAGGTACCTTCAACATGGACACACCCTGGCTTTACCTGTATACAGCTCACAAGCTACAGCAACCTCAGCGTTCAGTATATTCAGCCACTGCTGAGTTAACGGCTAGGAAAGCCTTTGTTGTCAAAGGGCTGGTGATAGAACTCTTCTGTAAGGACAAAGTTGATGAAAAAGAAGGGAAAGTTTGGATCTACACGCCAGCAACCACCTACCTGCGGGTTAGTGGCCTTATGATGGCTGCCTTGGGCTAATGCTTTTTCAGCAACATGCAGTTTCATTTATCTGTGCTTGTAATGGTCAGATTAGATTATCTGTTTAGCACATTTTTATAAGAACTGTTCCTGGCCAAGTCTGTTGGCCATAGTACAAAATCTTCCCTACCTATGTAGCTTGCATTCATTTTGGGTTTGGTCACTAGAAGGTGAACATAGACTTAGTTTGCAAGTGCATATGAGGGGAGCGGAATCACAGGAAATATGCTTTCCCCTTTTCATTGACTTGGACCCCGAGAGGGAAGAAATAAGGTTTAACTTGTCTTTTAGGAGCAAGAGAAGTTCCACACTGGTGGGGAAAAAAGACTTTGCTGCTCCAATGGTTGTGTTAGTCAGTCATCACAAACATTTAAGTAGCAAAGTCTTCTTTTTTCCCTTCCCTGGTGTGGAGCAATCAACAGAGCAGAGAGCTTCCGAGTGTTCCCCTGTCATTGCTGCCATCAGTAAAGTATAGGTTGGCAAGTGCAAAAGACGGGGCCTTTTAAAACAAAACTCTGCACCTTGACTAGGGAGTTCCTTGCAAAGGGAAGTCATGTTGGCTCCATTCTTCCTGGATTTGAAATGGATCGTAGAAACTACAGTGTTTCTCCAATCCTTTGATAGCTTTTAATATTGTTCTGCCTTTTAAAAAAAGTTGAATTTATTTTTTCATTCCTTTGTGGTTTTATGTACTTCGTTGCTATTTCCTGTTGCATGTTGCTTTGGATGCTGTTCCTCTTCAAGCTTGTTTGACATCTTCCATTAATGCTGCCAGTTCCATAAAGCCAATTCCCTTTAAGCTATAGAAAGGGTCAGTGGCAGAACAGATGTTCATCACACAGAAATTCCCTAGTTTAGTCCCCAGCATCTCCATTGGAAAAAAGATCCTGTGGCTGGCGCTGGGAAAAAGTCCTGGTGGCTGGGCTTTGGCCAGTTTTCTTTCTTGGTTTGTTTCAGAGCGTTGCACAATTTAAAATTATAGATGTATATGAAACATAGATACAATTTAAAACAAATTAAAGTGTTAGGATCATTAGACTATTTTTAACCAGAAGTGAGCTCCTTCAATAGCATTACCTCAGCCATTTGCTAGATGTGTTGTACATGTGACGAGGCAGAAATTGCATGGACATAAGTGCTGCATTGAACCTCTCCACAGTCACAGAAACTTTGTCCTGTATCCAAGTAGCTCCATTTTCTTTGATTATTCTTTCCTTTTACTACTTGGCTTCAAAGTGTATGAGGTGACTTCCAGATGTTTCATCTAGAGTCCTGTCCTGGTGGGCGACATTCTTCAGCATTAATCCATTCAGCAAGGTCTGCTGTTTTTCTTCTCCATAGGTTTAGTCTAGCCTCCTCTTATTTAGAGCTTGAGATATATGCAGAAAACTTTTCCTTGATTTTAGATGTCATCTAGGAGGTTGGTATTTGTTTGGTGCTACATTTCCTTATTTTGTTCACTATTTGCTAGCATCTCTCAAAGTACTTCTGGAGGGACAATGTCTTTTCCATCCTTCAGTGAGAGGACATAGGACATAGAAGGAGCCTCCCCAAAGAGTGGGAAAGCATTATGGGTACACTTGGGCATCCCTGGGCAACAGTGTGCAAGCCAGCCAGTCTTTCACTTCCAGAAATGTAGCGCTGTAAACTTGCAGATGAGCTTCCTCCAGTCAGAGTAGGCGATACTCGGCCAGATGGACAACCTGTTGTAAGAGAGCTTCCCATGTCCCGCATGTGCATCATGTCTGAATATACTTCCCATCAACCATTCATGTGTCTGGATATTTATCTACTATCTGTTCTGCAGTAGAAAGGATAAATCAAAAGGACCAATAATCTAACTTTTCAGGCATTCACAGTTAATCACTTCAGAAAGGGGTTTCTGCACAGCCAGAGTGAAATGGTGTCTCTATGGAACCAGCTCCTAAAGAACGAGATTTTCCTGGAAAATAATGAACAGAACAAAGTTCTTCATTTCAAGGTCAAGTCTGCAAAGCAAGAATTTAATATGACAGCTGCTTATCTCCACCTGGAGGTGGTAAGTAAGGCAATTAGATATATATGTATGTTGACAATGACTGTTGGGGCTTTTTAGTTGAGAATGGGGCAAAGGCATCTAATGAGGGACAGAAGATAACCATAGGAAAATTATACATGGTTTGGAGAAAGCCAATAGGGAGACATTTTTTTCCACGTTTCATAAAACGAGAACTTTGGTATAATTAAATTAGCAGGAGGTTCCAAATACTGGGGAGCTTTTTTTTAAAAATTAAAACATACGTAACGTGTAAAAGCTAAACAAAAAAGGTTGCTCATCGCCAAGTATGTAACAGTAAACAAATTTTAACTCATTATATTATTTCTTCCTGAGAGATGTGGAAACCACTTGACTCATTGTATCACCCTGGAGAGCAGCTCTCCCTTTGTCTTTTACAACAATGGTCCCCAACCTTGGGCCTCCAGATGTTCTTGGACTACAACTCCCAGAAGCCTTCACCACCACCTCTGCTGGCCAGGATTTCTAGGAGCTGAAGTCCAAGAACATCTGGAGGCCCAAGGTTGGAGACCACTGTTTTAGAAGACATTCTGTCCACTCCACCCCTTGGTCTGAGACATCATCTGTGTATTTCCTGCTATGCCAAGTGGTGGTGGAGGTTCCACAGAGCCCTGATTGTGTGATCTAGCTTCTCATCTTTCTGCAATCTCATACATACTCGGTTCTCATAGTGTAATAGTACTCTATTTCAGTAAAGTTTATTAAACTAAGCTGATGGCATGACCATACAGATTATCTCAGATAGACACGTTCGCCCTCGTGGCCCCTGTTTGTCTTCCCAAACACAGAGCTCACAAAGGCAAAGCAAAACACCTCTCGGCACGCTGCCACCAGTTGATCTCCTTATCAACTTACTTAGAAAAGATGAAGGTCCATTCAGTACTGACTTTTTAATAGAACAGGTTTATTGATTACAGTTGGTTTCTGGAACAATTCATAAGCACATTCTTCAGGTTTCATTGAGCTTTAGTATTAACCTTCTATAGTATTTACCACAGTTTACACTCAAGACTAATTGCTCCTCAGACCCCTCCTTCTCTCTCTGATGCCTAACACAGACTGAACTCAACTCAGACTCGACTGACTCCTCCTCTCTCAGGCCCCGCCTTTTAACATCTCTTTTGGCCCCGCCTCTTAACCACATTAGCATATAACTCATGAATAATACATAACTTATTATATGTCACCTTGGCCTTTAAATAACTGTTGTCATTCACAAAGAAATATTTAATTATCTTGGGAATGTGCGTATCAAGAGTATCTCACAGCCTGCACCCTTTTCTATTATCACCAGTCTCTTCCTGCTGGTGCTCTTTCTCTCTCTCTCTTTTTTCCCCCTCTGTAGACACACCATGACCATCATGGCTGGTGGTGGTCTGTGTGTGTGCACGTGTGTACATACACAGTGAGAGAGAGACCATCAACAGCCATTTCATGGAGCTGTACAGCAAAGAGCCAACTTTTATGGCTGTTTAGAGAGTGTTTTATAATGTGGAATATTATATTTACACATATATATTCTGTGCAGTGACCTAAGTCTGAGCTTTCTCAAGTGCCCCAGTGGTTGGAGGGAAGATTTCAAGCTTTACTGGAGAGCTCACTATGACTTACTTTTGTCTTTGGTTCCAGTAGCTCAGTCTAGTTAGTGTATTACTTTTTATTTCCTTTCCCTCAATTCAGATCAATATATATCTCTTTAACCATACGAACACCAAATGGGATATGAAGGAACCATTCTCTCTCTCTCTCTCTCTCTTTTTCCCCCCTCTGTATACACACCATGACCACCATGGCTGGTGGTGGTCTGTGTGTGTGTACGTACAGTGAGAGAGAGTGGTGCTATTTCATGTTGAGGGTGAAAAGCAGCTCCTAACAGCACACATCGTTGTTCCAAGCCACACCAATATCCCTAATTCAGTCTATTTCTGCACATCTGTCTGAAGATCTTCATAGCTATATCTCTTAGATTAGTCATTGCTTTTCTGTGAACTTTAGTTCCTTTTTAAAACAAAGAAATGCATCTAAAGACATCAAGATATGACCTAAAATTTTTTTTGGGGGGGGAGGAATTGTCAAAATGGTCTTCCACAGATTTATTCCCCCCCCAAGGTCTTATAGTAATGTAACATGGATGTTATTCTTTTTGACAGAATAACTAATGGTGGTGCTATTTGTTCATTGCATTGCAATGGGAATTATCAGAGCATATACAGCTACTTTTAAAAATAATTTGGTCATACCACATGTTAAAATGTTTGAAAAGTAATTTGTTTGGTTACATGTTGCATTTCACATTGTTTTTATATTAGCATATTTTTACATGTATTTTACATGTATTTTACATTTTTTAATAAAAAATCTGAATCCCTTGAACCTGAAATTTGGGGGGGGGGGAGGAATTGTCAAAATGGTCTCCCACAGATTTAATCCCCCCCCCAGGTCTTATAGTAATGTAACGTGGATGTTATTCTTTTTGACAGAATAACTAATGGTGGTGCTATTTGTAATGTTCATTGCAATGGGAATTATCAGAGCATATACAGCTACTTTTAAAAATAATTTGGTCATACCACATGTTAAAATGTTTGAAAAGTAATTTGTTTGGTTACATGTTGCATTTCACATTGTTTTTATATTAGCATATTTTTACATGTATTTTACATGTATTTTACATTTTTTAATAAAAAATCTGAATCCCTTGAAAATATTCCTTTAAAACTAGCAAGGAAATATTACTCATCTCACCAGTAAAGCAACTTCCCACCTACAAGTTCCTGCCCACTTACACCTTCATTATCTGCCAAATAGTATTTTTTTACACATAGCTACATTGCTTATCATAGAATCATAGAATCACAGAGTTGGAAGAGACCACAGGGGCCATCGAGTCCAACTCCCGTGCCATACAGGAACTCCATCAAAGCACTCCTGACAGATGGCCGTCCAGCCTCGGCTTAAAAACCTCCGTAATTCATTATATCTAAGCTCTGGGAATGACAATTGCCAAGGTTACTGGGGACACAAGATCCTGGATCCCAAGTAACTTTTTGAGATACAAGAGCTATCCCAGAATCCAAATCAACTCTGGAAGGATGAAAACCGCTGCTCCCTCTTGTCATGTTCCTAGTCTGAGCTGGGATTGTTCAAGATCAAGACCCTTCAAGACCCACTAAGGCTCTGGGAAAATGAGTTTCAACTCAGCCATATTAACTCTTAGAGAACACCAAAGAGCAGCAAGAAAAATAGCCCAAGTAGTCAAGGTACTGGAATTAAACCCAAGGTGTTCCCATCCAGATGGGGAGATTTAAAGCAACTTGTTGCACAATCCCTGTTCTGCTTCTTCCATGGTTCATAACGCTATCATTTACTCTGTGCATCCCTACATCCAAGGTCTTTTATTTTAGGACATACTCATGCCCCTGTCCACACAGTGGACAAAAACTACAACATTTTTTTATAATGTCCCCACCATCATTTTACCACCCTATTCTCCCACTATATTTACTCTCCACCCAGCCAATGCCCACCCTGGAATCAAACCCTACATGTTTTGAGAGTAAAAATCAATACAAATTATTTTCTTAAGACATAAGACATCAAGCATAAATTGATTCTTTGCTTGCAGTCTACCAGATTAGAACTAACCTTATTGTTAGCAAGTAGCAAGTTCCCTATTTTGACACACACACACACACACACACACACACAGAGAGAGAGAGAGAGAGTCCCTTGGATCTATTTTGGCTCAAAGGCAATCAATAAATATTTTTAAAACATCCAGAGAGAAATCGGGCTGAAATAGAAAATATTTTTTTCCAAGAGATAGTAGAATTTCCCTTCAACAGAACAGTTGCAGTCAGCATTGTTTTATTATTAGTTACCCTATTTTCACTGCCTCGTGTTTAGTAAATCCAACATCCCTCTCTTTTCCTATGGGTCTTCCATTTTCCTTGGATGTCTTGGGATGTTTTGCTGGCCAAAGCCCAGAAAGACGAATGTTTCCATGTGCATTTGGTGGAAGGACCACAAGAACCTGCCACTTGTGCTGCAGTTTGAAGCCCAGATAGAAGAAGTAAGAAAGGAAAAAATGCTATATCAAAAACGTGCAACAGTCCACTTCAGGTATTTTCATTCTCTTTGAAGTCTCCTTTCCTTCATATTATACATCTTGATAAATACATTGAATAGGCATTATTTATATCCTGTAACATCAATATAGAAAGCAAACAAATCACCCTACGTAGTCTGGTCCTTTTTTCTCTGCTGTTGCCGGTGTTCAAAGATTAAAGATAAGAATAGACAGATGCCTAGAGTAAACAGACACAAGTACACACGTGCATCCAAATATATTTTGTGTTTGCATAGGATATGCAAAATCTCTAGACCCCTACCAGAACAACCTCCAGGTCTGAGGACAATCTGGGAAAAGCAGCTTCTTGTGCACTCTCACCTACATTGGTGGGCTTACAAAGCATGTGGGCTTACAAAGCATGGCCAGAAACCATTATTTTAATTTCCCACACTACACCAGAGCACCTAATAAAGCAATACTACATGGCATTAAAAATGGACACCCAGAAAAGCCTACATGCCCAAGGACCTGGGGCAATCGTCAGAACTGATAAGGCCAAATGCAATTTAGTTTGGATGCCAGCTCCGAAGCTTTAGAAGCATCTAAATGTTTTATTGTTCTGTAACACGTCATTTCATATAGTCGTTTAGTTGTGTCCGACTCTTTGTGACCCCATGAACCAGAGCACGGCAGGCCATCCTGTCTTCCAATGCCTCCTGGATTTGTGTCAAATTCATCTTGGTTGATTCGATGACACTGTCCAACCATCTCGTCCTCTGTTGTCCCCTTCTCCTCTTGCCTTCACACTTTCCCAACATCACAGTCTTTCCCATGGAGTCTTCTCATGAGATGGCCGAAGTATTGGAGCCTCAGCTTCAGGATCTGTCCTTCCAGTGAGCACTCAGGGTTGATTTCCTTGAGAATGGATAGGTTTAATCTCTTTGCAGTCCAGGGGACTCTCAAGAGCCTCCTCCAGCACCACAATTCAAAAGCATCAATTCTTCAGCGGTCAGCCTTCTTTATGGTCCAGCTCTCACTTCCATACATCACAACAGGAAAAACCATAGCTTTGACTATGCAGACTTTTGTCGGCAAGGTGATGTCTCTGCTTTTTAAGATGCTGTCTC